AACTTACTTCTCAAATGAGAAGTAAAGCGGTCGCGTCAAGTAAATAACCCAACTAGTGAGGTTGGGATCGTTCCCACGAGGAAAATAGTCTAGACTTAACTCCAACTTGTAATTACTATTGTTCGGTTTATGACTTTCTTAAAAAGTAAAAGCATAAACGGGGGGTTTTGTACTTCCTAATAAAATAAAAATAACTAACGAACTTGACAGAGACACTTAACAGCTTTTAATGTTGAGTTTTAATCATGTAATCAAAGTAACTAGGGTTTACGTGTTCCCCACAGGTTCATAACTTGATAATTCTAGCTATAACATTTCTTTCCTAGTATCTTGCATGCAAAGTGATAAGTTATGTATTTCTAAATCCTTGGTCCGGCATCTAGAAAATCTCACTCCGCACCTTGGTCCGGCTACGTTTGTTGCTTTCCTAGCCCTTATCCTTACCTCATATTAAGCATCATATTCGATATTTGACTCGGTTATTATCTCGTACCAATAAATACTAGCCTATTAGATAGTATACACTAAATCTATGTTAATAATTGTTTTCCTATTGTCTACCTCCTTGGTCCGGCAAGTAGCATTAAGGCGAGTTCTAACGTTGATCATCCGTTAAAAAGACTTCTAAGCGAATGAATTATTAATACATGCAAGACACTATTCTAGAATTTTTATTTTAGCTAGGGTTTATCTCATTATTTGCCTATGGTTCCCACAACCCTAGTTATAGAGTTTAGTTCCTCATAGCCATAAACACAATATTCAAATATATTAAACAAGAATTCATGTACTTACTTTAATGAGAAAGAATAAAGTCTGAAAATTTGCTTGATTAATCAACAAGAGTTACTTGTAAGAATCTCCAATAATCAAAAACTCAGAAAAAACAAAGTCTAATAATATGATGTTAAATCTCCTAGAGTCTAACCTCAAAAACGAGGTTTTTCGACTTATTTATAAAAAAATAAAAACCTAATTAAACAAGGATTCTAATAACTGGAAATCTGCCAAAACGCGGCTGGGTCGACGGACCACGCGACGGAACGTCGTGGTCATGACAGACCGTCATGGGCTCCGTCGCCCCATACTTGGGTGCAATTCTTCTGCTGCTTTCTTCATTCCCCTCGACGGCAAGTGTGACGGACCGTCACAGGCACGACGGTCCGTCGAGGATCTTCGTTACAAAATACTTCAACTTTTGGAATTTGGGTACTGGGATCACTTCTCTGATCTTCGCGACGAACCTGCAAGACGGACCGTCATATCCATGACGGACCGTCACAAGCTTCGTAATCCCACACTTGGTCAGACTTCCCCATCTTCCTTCAGCAGCTTCTCTACGCTGCCACCTACGGACCGTCACAAGCACGACGGACCGTCATAAGCTCCGTAGGTGGTCTCTTCTGCATTTTTCGCTCAAAATCTCCGCATTCAGCTTTAGACAGATTTCCTGCAAAACAAAGAAACACTTATATCAAAATTAGCACAAAAAGGGCTTTCGGACACACTAAACATAAGGAAAAAGTATTAATTATACCGTGAAACCACGGTATATCAGGGTTTAATCTTTAAAACTATTTCTAATGATTTCTTAATAATTTTCTTATAACTTCTTTAATAGTTTCTTTATATTTTCTTGATGAACTCTTGATAATTCAATGTTCTGAACCCTTCAATGATGAAGAAATTCTCCAAATATAAATCTTATGATGCTACCTTATATTTTATTGACTATAATATTATGATGTGATATATATATATCACTCATGAATGCAAAAATATAATAAATGATCTGTAACCTCATGACATGAACAAAATTTACGAACTATAACCTTCAAAAGGTATGAAGAGGAGCCTTCAGGCTAATTCATGAACACATGAACATCAGGGAGAAAATGAAGTTAAATTATTTTTTGGGGGGTGGATGGGGCTGGGGAGGGGGCTTGTTTGAGGGTAGCCACAAAATAAATTGATTATTTCAACAAAAAAAAGTAATTTTAAATTGGAAGAGAGTTTATGGAAAATGTATTCCTTAAGATTTGAGGGAAAGTTATTCTCCTTAAATTTGAGGAAAGTGAGTTGATTTGAAATACATTTTCCAAAACACTTAAACTAACCAAACATGAGAAAATAGTAAACATTTTCTGTTCCTACCAAAAAAACACTTAGGTGCTGAAAGTGATGAAAATTGTTCCACACACCTTATATTATAGAATATAAAACTATCCGCAGAAAGCTATGTACTTCTATCGTGCCAGTCAGTCTAGTCCAAGTCTTCTTCCTCATTCTTTTGTAAGTCAACATGAATGCCAACATCTGAGGTAATAAATCTTAACAAGGTCATATAATGCCACCAAAGCTTACACTTTTGTAGCTTAGCATACAACCTCTTTTCTTAGAGTACCTACCAAATTCTTGAACATGGTCTCTCTACTCTGTCACTCTATGAAATTCTCGAACATGGTGTCTCTACGTTGTCACTCTAAAAAATTCTCGAATGCAGGTAATGAACCTACATAAAATAAAAACTTTTTTAAAGTCATCAATAACATAAATTTCTATTTAACAATATCAACTATCCTAACTCATAGGTATAATTACATATCATGCATTTTGCAACATACATAAAATTCAACAACAATATGCTCGAAAACCTCGATGTAACACCCTGTAGCCAGAACAGATCAAAAATAAGTTATTCAGAAAAAATTTGCAGGTGCTACCAATGGTGGCATCGATGGACCATAGCCTGAACCACGGTCCGTCCTGCATAACCATCGATGGGATCAGAAACTCCCAAAAATTTCAACCTAGAAAAATTGGTTAAGTTTTGGACGATGGACAGACTTACGGTCCGTAGGTCAAACGAAAGTCCGTAGTCCGTGACCTTCAGTCAAGACTCCCTTCAACCACTCTCTGAAAAAGAGCTATGGATGGCCAGCATGGTTCGTAGGTGGACCTATGATCCGTAGGTGGAAAATTTGCAACCAGTTAAGGGGAAATGCAGTTGGGTCAACTTAAAATGATCATAACACTTAGCACAAAATGAATTACGTATCCTATGACCTACCCACAGATAGATAATTAAATTATCTTTCCATAGCTATCGACCATCATAAAATCATACGTCCGAATAAAACGTTATGCCAATTTTGGTAAATGCCTGTCAAACGGGCCCTCATGACGGACCCAACGATGGTGCGTCGGGCGCACGACGGACCGTCAGTCCTGGCCATCGTGAGGCCTGACAGCAACCTTCCTAGGGGTCTTTTTGACCTTTTATACTCCATTTAAACCCTAATTTATGTCGTTTTGACCCTAAATCATCAGATTTTAGTAAGTTTATGCCTAGAAGAATGATTGAATCATATCCAAGTCAAATCATAAAATAAAAACTTAGAAAATTAGAAGTAAGAGAGGAGAAAAAAAAGCTCAAGAACCCTAGTTCAAGAACGCCACAAGCTCCAGCAGTTCCAGCCCCGAAACTTAAGTATCTTTCTGTGGATTTTTTCACCTGCTATGTGCGATTTCACTAGTGGGTTCCTTTCACCCATTGGGTCCTTAGTTTCATTCAGTTCTTGATTCTCTTATCATGATTAAACCTAGGGTTTCTAGAATTGTGATATAACTTCATGAATTTATAAATATATGTTCCAATTCATATTATCATGTTATTACTCAGATTATTGCATGAATTTCAGAACCCTAGCTTTGTATTTCTTTATTTCTTGAATTACACATTATAGGTCATATATTTTAGACACTTCATATATACATGCTTCAGTTATAAATGCATAATTACCTAATTATTTGTGGCATTCTCAGTTCGCATGTTCAGTTTTGAGATATCCAGTATATACAGAAATTTAGATATAATCAATTATTTTACAGAATTCATTGGCAGTACAATAATACCGAGTTGGACTAGGGTTTAGCATACCCAATACTCCCAGAACTACTAGCCTAGTAGGTTGTAAGTCCCCTCTGTGGCCAATCAGTTTAGTGATAACACCAGCATGCCTTTATACCTTTGGCAGGTTATATTGGGTCCTCTCGATGGGGCGTATACAACGGACTCTACATTTAACTCATGTGGTTTTATTATTGGTTATTAGTAGCTCCCGTAGTTAAGTTAGACTCTTTGCATTGACCATTTATCAGTATATTCAGTATTCAGTATATTATAAATTTGTCATTACATCCAGCAGCTCAGAAATTAGCACATCACGTTGAGATTATTGTACTTGTTTTGGTGCTTGTTCAGTTATGTTTTTTTTCACTATACTCTATCCTACATGCTCAGTACTTTTCAAGTACTGACCCATACGTGCGCTACATCTTCTTGTGATGTACGTTCAAGTTCTAAGCATCCATATCACGCATAGATCGATTTCCCGATCTCCAGTTCATCAGATTCAGTGGTGAGTCCTCATTCTCTGAGGAAAACAGTCATGAGTTTAATTTCAGTCTTTAGTAATTTAATTTCAGTTTTTGCTAAATTTAGCTAGGGCTTGTCCCAATATTTCTAGTCCAGTTTAGAGTCTATTTTAAGACATAGTTAGATTCAGCTTAGAATTGAGTTAATATTTCATTTGTATTAAACTCGTTGTTTTAAAATATCTTAGTTATAGAATATGGGTATTCCTCATCTATTCATTTCAAGTATGATTAACCTTCTGTAACAATTTATTATCTTTAGTATGCTCACGATCATGCAAGCAGGGTTAGCTTTGGATCACTTGTGGTCCTATGTTCTGTGTCCGCGGCTCGAGGGTAGCTTAGGGAGTGACAAAACATGTTATAAGAGCACTAGGTTCAATAGTCCTAAGATGTCTGAAAAAGCCACACTAAGTAGTCCTTTTCATGGGTGTGAAGTGCACCACATCTAATGAGATTGAGGCTGTGAAGTGTTTTAGGAAAAACTTCACCTTCTTGTTACTCTTATCATGCATAAGGTATAATCTAATTTTATTGTAACTCGACGTTGAGTGCTTAAGATCATGCCTCCTCATAGAGCTACTGCTATAAATGCGAATGCCAGGAATGCAAACGCAACTCCTCCAATCCCAGATCAAGAAGTCTCCAATGTTGAGTTCAGGAAAACCATAGAGATGTTGGCTGAAAGTATGACCAACCAGAACAATCGGGTTCATGATCCTATGAATGAAAATAGTGGATCAGCAGCAGCAAGGATCCGTAACTTTGTTAGGATGAATCCTCTTGAGTTCTTTGGATCGCAGACTAATAATCAAAATCCTCAGAATTTTTTTGATGAAATCAAGAAGATCTTTGAGGTGATGCAGGTTACTGGGAATTATCGGGTTGAGTTGGTGTCATACCAACTGAAAGATGTGGCTCATATCTGGTACACTCAGTGGAAGAAGAATAGGGGTGAAAATGCAGCTCCTATTACTTGAAAGTGGTTTAGTGAGACTTTTCTCGACAGGTTTTTCTCAATAGAGTTGAGAGAAGCATGATTGTCCAAGAGTATCAGCTGAAGTATAACAAACTCTCCAGGTATGCTCTTCACATGGTTGCTGACTCAAGGGCTCATATGAATAAGTTCTTGCATGGAGTATCACCTTTGGTGAAGACAGAGTGCACAAATGCTATGCTACTGGGAGATATGAACATCTCTAGGATTATGACTCATGCTCACCAGGTTGAGGGTGATAAGCTTAGGGAACATGCTAAAGAAAATAAGAATTCTAGGACTGGAAAATATGACTATTCTCAGCAGATATCGGGTGGTGGAAACCGCTCGCAGGTCAGCAGAAATTCTTAGCTCCATCCCCTTCATCAGCTAGTGTTCCATCCTCCAAGAATAGGTATGACCAGAAGGGAAGATCACTAGGATCTATGTCTCAAGAAAGTGTTTCGGGCACCAAAAATTACCCCACTTGCCCTATGTGTGATAAGAACCATCCAAGCGTGTGTCTTGCAGGAAAAAAAAAGATGTCTTGGATGTGGTCGGTCTGGTCACATGTTGAGGTACTATGCTTCTAGACAGGGTCAAGGAAGTGGCAATGGTAGAGCTCAGTCTACAAATTCAGCAGCACCAGCAAGTCGCCAAACTCAGCAGGGTAACTCATCTGGTACAGGTGGCGATCAGCGCCAGAACAGACTTTATGCTCTTCAGGCTCTCCAGGATCAAGAAAGTTCTCCTAATGTAGTCACTGGTACATTACAAGTCTTTGACCTTGATGTTTATGCATTGCTATATCCAGGGGCTACGCTTTATTTTGTAACTCCTTATATAGCAGTCCAATTCCATGTAAGTCCAAAAACTCTCTCAGAACCATTGTCAGTCTCTACTCCAGTCGGTGACCCAGTTATAGCTAGACGGGTATACAGAAATTGCCCTGTCATAGTCTCTAAGAAAGTCATCTTAGCATATCTAGTAGAGTTAGAAATGGTAGACTTCAATGTCATTCTAGGCATAGATTGGTTAAACTCATGTTATGCCTCAGTCGATTGTAGAACTAGGATTGTTTATTTTCAGTTTCCAGATGAACCAATCTTAGAATGGAAGGGTAGTTGCCTAGTGCCTATGGGTCGATTTATTTCTTACTTTAAGGGTAGAAAGATGATATCTAAGTGTTATCTCTATCATCTAGTTCAGGCTAAGGATTCTCGCCTTGAAACCCTATCTTTTGAGTCTGTTGCAGTAGTCTACGAATTTGAAGAAGTATTTCAAAAAGATCTTCCCGAGGTTCCTCCCAAAAGGGAAATCAACTTTGGAATTGATCTCCTTCCAGATACCCAGCCTATTTCTATTCCACCTTACAGAATGGCTCCATCAGAGCTTAAGAAATTGATAGATCTGTTGAAAAACCTTCTAGATAAGGGTTTCATAAGAACTAGTATTACATTATGGGGTGCGCCAGTATTGTTCGTAAAGAAGAAGGATGGTTCTCTTAGAATGTGTATTGACTATAGACAGTTGAACAAGGTCACAATAAAGAATAAGTATCCCATCCCCAGTATTGATGATTTGCAGCATTGGTGTTTGCACTCAAGATCTGGAGACACTACTTGTATGGTGTTCACATAGATGTGTTCACTGACCATAAGAATCTTCAGTGTGTGTTCACCCAGAAGAGTTGAATCTTCGCCAGAGTAGATAGCTTTAGTTCCTTAAGGATTATGATATGAGAGTGCATTACCATATTGGTAAGGCAAATGTTGTAGCATATGCTCTTTATAGATTATCTATGGGTAGTGTAGCCTACGTTAAGGAAGAAAGAAAAAAGCAAGTGAAGGATATTCACAGGATTGCTCGCTTGGGAGTTCTCCCTATGAGCATATCAAATAGCGGTGTAACAGTTCAGAATGGGGCTAAATCGTCTTTGGTAGTGGAGGTTAAGGAAAAGCAAGAATGTGATCCGATCTTGCTTGAACTAAAGGGTGCAGTCAACATTAAAAAAATGGAGGTTTTCTACCAAGGGGGAGATGGTTTACTTCGCTACCAAGGTAGATTGTGTGTTCTTGATTAAGGTCCTTAGTTTACCTCTCATTTGTAGAAGTCATTTCAAAAAGGTCTTGGTACTCAAGTTAACCTTAGTACAACATTTCGTCCACAGATGGATGGGCAGGCAGAGCGTATCGTTCAGACCTTAGAGGATATGTTGAGATCTAGTGTGATCGATTTCAATGGTAGTTGGGATAATCACCTTCCTCTTATTGAGTTTTCCTACAATAAAAGCTACCATTGCAGCATTGAGATGGACCCTTATCAGGCTTTAAGGGCATAGATGTTGATTTCCTGTTGGTTGGTTTGAAGTAGGTCAAGCAGCTTTGATAGGACCAGTCCTTTATGCTATGGAGAAAGTCCAACTCATTAGAGATAGACTTAAGACAACCCAAAGTCGTTAGAAATCTTATGCATACGTAAGGAGAAGCGAACTAGAATTCCAAGTTGATGATTGGATTTTTCTAAATGTCTCACCTATGAAAGGAGTGATGTGATTTGGAAATTCAGGAAAGCTCACTCCTTGATATGTAGGCCTTTACAAGATATTTAAAAGGATTTTCAAGGTGGCATATGAGTTAGAATTTCCAGCAAAATTAACTGGAGTGCATCCGGTCTTCCACATCTCACTCTTGAAGAAGTATGTGGGTGACCTAGCCTCTATAGTGCCATTAGAGAGTGTGGCGGTGAAATATAGTCTTTCTTATGAGGATGTACCAGTTGAGATTCTTGACCGTCAGGTTAGAAGGTTGAGAAACAAAGAAGTCACTTCAGTCAAGGTTTTGTGAAGGAGTCAGTCCATAGAGAGAGCTACTTGGGAAGCAGAAGCAGCCATGAAAGCCAACTATCCTTACCTTTTTCCTTTTGATTACACTCCAGCTTGAGGTAATAGTTCCTCTTCAACTTTACAGTCATTCATGTGTAACTTTAGTTTTAGAATCATGTTCCCTCATTTTGTACTTTCATTTTTAGCTTAATTGCATTTACTCAGAACTCAATTCAGTCAGAACTCAGTTCTCAGTGTTTAATAGTGGGGTTTGCATCTCTCTCCCTCAATTTCAGCTAGTTTAGTCTTCATTCAAGGACGAATGTTCCCAAGGGGGAAATAATGTAACACCCCGTAGCCAAAACAAACCAAAAAATAGTTTTTCAGAAAAATCTGCAGGTGCTACCAACAGTGGCATCGATGGACTGTAGCCTGGACCACGTTCCGTCCTGCACAATTGTTGATAAGAATAGAAACTCCCCAAAGTTTCAGCCTAGAAAAATTGGTTAATTCTTTGATGACGGACGGACTTACGGTCCATAGGTCAAACGTCGATACGTAGTTAGTGACCATCGATTAAGACTCCCTTCAACCACTCTCTGACAAGAGCTATGGATGACCAACATGGTTCGTAGGTGGACGTACGGTTTGTAGGTGGAAAATTTGCATCCAATTTAGGGGAAATGCAGTTGGGTCAACTTAAAATGATTATAACTCTTAGAACAAAATGAGTTAGGTCTCTCATGAGTTACCCTTAGATAGATAATTGAATTATATTTCCATACACACAGACCTTGCTAAAATCACACCTTCGAGTAAAAAGTTATGCCTATTTTAGTAAAAGCCCAACGAACAGGCCCTCACGACGGACCCAACGAGCACACGATCGACCGTCAGTCCTAGACGACATGAAGCCCGACAGCAACCTTCCCAGGGGTCTTTTTGACCTTTCACACTCTATTTAAACACTAAGTTACGTCGTTTTGACCAAAAATCATTAGATTTTAGTCATTTTAAGCCTAGAAACATGATTAAATATCCAAGTCAAATCATCAAATCAAAACATAGAAAATTAGAAGCAAGAGAGGAGAAAAAAAGCTTAAGAACCCTAGTTCAAAAATGCCACAAACTCCAGCAGTTCCAGCCCCAAAACTTAAGTATTTTTCCGTGGATTTCATCACCAGGTATGTGGGATTTCACTAGTGGGTTTCTTTCACCCATTGGGTCATTAGTTTCAGTCAGTTTTTGATTCTCTTATCATGATTAAACCTAGGGTTTCTAGATCTTTGATATAACTTCATGAATTTATTAAATATATGTTCCAAATCATATTATCATGTTATTTCTCAGATTATCACATGAATTTCAGAACCCTAGCTTTGTATTTCTTTAGTTCTTGAATTATACATGATAGGTCATATATTTTAGACACTTCATATATACATGCCTCAATTATAAATGAAAATTACTAGATTAATTGTTGCATTCTCACTTTGCATGTTCAGTTTGAGCTATCCAGTATTTATAGAAATTTAGATATAATCAGTTAAATTACAGAATTCATTGGGAGTAGCATAATATTAAGTTGGACTAGGGCTTAGCCTACCCATAGTCTCAGAACTACTAGCAAAGTAGGTTGTAAGTCCCTTCTTTGGGCAATCAGTTTAGTGATAACGTCAGCATGCATTTATGCCTTTGCCAGGGTATATTGGATCCTCTCGATGGGCGTATACATCGGACTCCACATTTAGCTCATGTGGTTTTATTATCGGTTATTAGTAGCTCCCACAGTTCAGTCAGACTCTCTGCATTGACCATTTATCAGTATATTCATTATTCATTATCAGCATGTTATAAATTTGTCATTGCATTCAGTTAGCTATGAAATTAGCAAATCACGTGCAGATTATTATACTTGTTTTTGTGCTTGTTCAGTTATGTTTTATTTTAGCTTTACTCTATCCTACATGCTTAGTATTTTTCAAGAATTGATACATACGTGCGCTACATCTTGTCTTGATGTAGGTTTATGTTCTCAGCATCCATATTAGGCATAGATCGATTTCCCGATCTCCATACCAGCAGATTCAGTGTTGAGTCTTCATTCTCCGACGACAATAGTCGTGAGTTTCATTTAAGTCATTAGTCATTTAGTTTTAATTTTTGATAGATTTAGCTGGGGCTTGTCCCACTATTTCTAGTCTAGTTAGAGGCTATTTTCAGACATAGTTAGATTCAGCTTAGTATTGAGTTAATATTTCTTTTGTATTAAATTCATTGTTTTCAAAGATCTCAGTTATAGAATATGGGTATTCTCCATCTTTTCATTTTGAGTATGATTTAGCTTCCGCAACAGTTTATTATCTTTAGTATGTTCACGACATGCTAGTAGGGTTATCTTGGGATCACTTTTTGTCCAAGGTTCCGTGTCCGCGTCGCGGGGGTAGCTCTGGGCGTTACACTCGGGATCCGTTAAAAGGGACATTTCAGACCGAATTCAACACTTAGAAGCTAACCGCACAGAAAATAAAAATCTAATCTATGAATGTTTACCAAGAATGTTCGTCAAGGTCAAACTTAGGCCTAAACTTAAAAGCTAAAATATCTAATTACATAAACTTGCACCAAAAGCCTTAGGATATGTGTCTATCATCCCACTAGTCTAAAATTACCCTTCCAAAGATGATAGAACCATGAGAATATTTTTCCAAGGTTTTTTTGTACAAGAACGAAAAGGTGACAAAACTATCAGTCCCAATAAGTCGTAAATGGCTTGAGGTCAATATGAAAAATTTCTAAATGACAAACAAAAAGGCCTTCATAAAGAAATGACTGAAAGGATCATTACACCGTGACACTCTCCAAAAACCAACCACATAGCCACGAAGTTTTTGATGTCCACGAGTTTAAATTACCCAAAATGGAGCTCAATTGAGGGAGATATCACCAAAACCAACCTTGAGAAAAAGAACAGATTATATATGGTTTTATTTTAAGAAATAAGACAGATTAATTTATCGTAATCATTAGGTAAAGGGTGAGGATGTGGCCCGCTAATAAAATATTCCTCACAACCATTGAGATCAAACTTCGTGATCACAATGTCTAAAGGTGGTCAACTTGGTCACGATTGCGACAAGGAGACCATGCAAATGCGAAGGTAAAATTGGCTACACCTTCATAATGTGTCAAGGCCACACAATCGCAAACATTACAAATTAGGCCGTTATGAATGTTTCCAACCCCCCGACCCCCCGGATATGAACTCGTTACTGGATTACACCAGCTGAAGAACATCAACTAGTTTGTCCATTTCTAGAATTCTCCAAGGGGGGCTCAGAATTTATTCAGAATCCTATGCAAACAAACGAAATATTCTATCAAACAAAATTTTAAATTATCAAAACTTCAAACCAGGGTCATCTAAAAAAAGTGAGTCGTCCCCACCCATGCTCCATTTTTTGTTAAAATGAACAATAGGTCTTGAAATTGGCATAGAAGCCTCAGAATTCACACAAGGTACTTCTAGACGAAAATGAATGTTATGGAGCTAATAGAACCTTTATAATTGCATCTTTGAGGTTATTTTCGTGAACTTTTGATTGAAGTCAGATGTTCACGTTTCAAAAGCTCTAAAACAAATAAATTCATTGAGAAATCAAATTAACGTCCATGTGACTCTGAGGCAAGGCCGACTCAACAACATTGATGGCCTAAAGCTAAATTGAAGAGAGGGACCCTAATACTTTATTTTGTTTTCACCATATATACAATTATTTAAAATCTAATTTTCTAGATATTTTAGATGTAAAATCATTAGGTACATTTTTAAGATCAATTTGTTTAAATAGTTCCTTTTAAAATGGTAATTTAGCTTTTTAAAGAAGATTTAATCAATTTAGATTTCAAAAAAATTCTTTTGGCTAAGGTGACGGTTAGATAAACTATTAACATTATTCTATATGCAATATGAGTGTTTGGAAAAAAATCAAGTCTTTCTATTTGATTGAATATTTTTGTTACATCATTACCTTCAACTTATATTGTTTCCCTTATCACTTTTAATATAAAAAATAAATCCAAACCATCAATACAAAAGAACTACTACATGTTAAAGAAAGTTCTAGGTTAAGACAATATTTTAAATTTATTATCATCCTTTGATCTCAATAATTGCCAATAAATAAGAAATGTAAATATTTTCATATGCTTAATTGGTTGGAATCTATTTTAAGGTGAAGAAATAGTTAGATCTACCCTACATATATAAAGCAATAAACACTGAAAGATTCTTCAAGAGACTTGGTGACTTTGCTATCCATATTTAGATCAAATTGTTTCTCATGAAATTCAAGTTTATTTTCATCTCTTATGCAATTTCCTTTGCACAAATCATAACACTCATTAGTACCCCCAATAATTGATTGTTACAAAATGGCCCCCAAAATATATGAGGCCCCAAGCAATGGCTTTAGTGGCCTAGGGGTTAAGACGGTCATGAACGAATTGGGTCGCTATAGAAATGCTCGTAAGCCGTAACGATGAAATGAAGTCATTTTCATATAAATTACTTAGAGGGTTGTTACGTGTAAATACTTTGCCAATTAATTATGCGCATTTTCATATATGAATAATAAGAAACTGACACCAATTAATTGTGAACGTGCTTTCTATACATCCATATGTTATTGAAGAATTGACACCCATTTCTAATTAACTTTATGGTGATATCCCACCCTACTATTTTTATGAAGAATGGTGTGAATGTGGGCAACAACCTCCTCAAGGTCAAATTTTATAAACTAGTTAAGGATAAATTGAAAAAAATTCATGAGATGAAATAAAAAGAAATAGTAGAAGTTGGGACACTTTGTTTCTTGCTTTCAAAACATAATTTTGGAATTCAAATCCTATTTTTAATTGACTTAAAACCAGGCATTAACTAAATAAGAAGTCTTATTGCTTCCTTATTCATGTCCTATACCTTTCTTTTGATTAATAGTCGCTAATGATATGTGTGTTCTACACTAATAATCTATACTTTACAAAATATAGACTTATTTAAGAGGGGTGTTTTATGATTAAAACATTTCAATTTATTTTAAAGTTGAACTAACATGAAATTTATTAGTTCGAGACCGAATAACATATTATTTTAAGAAAAATAATCACAACTGATAAACTTCAAATTTTTTAGCCTCTATTTGATTGTGTGATACTTTATTCTCTAGATGAGTATTATATTACATTGAAAATATTAAATTTTATGTTTAAATATATTTTTTAATTCCATCATATTAGTCAAAGGAAAAATTACATAATTATATTTTTCCTCTTATATGTAATGCTAGTTTGACTTTGTTAAATTTGTTTGGTAGAAGGAACAAACGATAAAAACAAAATAGTTATATTACAGATTCACAAGATATATATATATATATATATATATATACCGAATAACATATTACTTTAAGAAAAATATTCAGAACTTATAAACTTCAAATACTTTAGCCTCTATTTGATTGTGCGATACTTAAATCCCTAGATGAGTAATTTATTACATTGAAAAAATTAATTTTTATGTTTAAATATATTTTGTGATTCCATCATATTAGTCAAAGGAAAAATTACATAATTATATTTTTCCTCTTTCATTTAATGCTAGTTTGACTTTGTTAAATTTGTTTAGTAGAAGGAACATAAGATAAAAACAAAATAGTTATATAACAAGATTCAAAGTATATATATATATATATATATATATATATATTGAATAGTCAACTAAATATACTATAAATAGGACACAAATAAAACAAAACATCATCATCAAGTGACTTACTGAGCATAAAAAAAATTAAGATATGTCTTTCAAAGTGTGGATTTTTTTCCTCATGTTTACGATGATAGCGATATGTAAGTCTTTTACTTGATTTGATCTATTAGTAATGGTGTACGAATAACTTCTCTGTAATATTTTCTAAGTTAATTTGAAGAGCTTCTTGTGCTGAAATATGAAATGTGTTTTCCTATTAATTATAGATTCTAATGATTAATTTGATAGGTGTCTCGCGAAAGGTTGAAGCAATAGACATACCCCAGTGTTGTTGCAAGACAGACGAAGACTGTAAACGTCTTTGTGGCGATTTACCTCCTTATTATTGTGATGGTGAATGGTGTGAATGTGGGCATCGTCCTCCCATAGTTCGAATTACAAAAACTAGTGAAAACATAAATTGAAGAAGTAAAATTCATAGCATGAAATAGAAAGGAAGAATAGATTTGGAATTTAATTTCTCTTTCAATGTAACTTTCAACATGACATTACCCAAATAAGAAAGATTATTGTTTCCTTCCATTCTTTTTCAATATAACTTGCAACAAGGAATTAGCAAATTTCGAAAGCTTATTTTTTCCTTCTTTATGTCATATACCTTTATTTTGATAAATAATCTAATTTTTTATTTCTTTTTAGTAGCATTTCTCTATAAAGAGTTCTCTTTTTTTAAAGATTTGAACTCCAATGTGTACATTTTGCAACAAACCTTTGAAATGCAACTTTAAGTTGAATTCAAGAATTTTAAGAACAACAAAAGTTGTTTTCACTAATTTTTCCTCAAAATAACTCCCCAAAACTTTAAAACAACTACAGTTTGTATTCATTCCCAACCACAACTTTAATTTTGAAATATATATTATTATTTTGAAAATAAGAATATTTTTATCAAATTTAACAAAAAAGAACATGGCCAACCATTAAGCTTGATAATTAGTTGTGCTACTCGACACGCATTGCCCCCGACAAGGGGTGTCCGTACAAAATAATGTACATGTAAGATATGTTAGAAGTTGACACTAAAGTAAAAATATTGAACAAAAAGGGAAGAGATGTAATACAAGTAAAATATGTAATCTCCCTATAACAATAAATTATAAGCACATGAAAAGCAATTACATAACATGGCCTTCATAGGCCTGGTAGGTACAAAAAACACACAATCCCTTTAGGTCCTAACGAGAGTAATAATCGCTTAATACCCATACTAGCCCCCTAACGTGGATCCCAATGACAATCTTTTCTAAACCATCTGAATGTACATTTCCCAAGAATCAATCTTAATATAAGAATTAACCTTAATGGCAATTAATTAGAAAGTACTGCTAAATATGTATTGTTAGTGGAAGTTAACACTCTTTGTATGTGTCCCTAAAGGATTTAACGACATTGGATCTAATAACACTTAACTAATGCCGGTAAAGACTTTAGTACACTTCATATTAATGTGTCTATTTATTGTCTCTAAAAGTTATTTTTGTTGTTGTGAATGCAAACCTGAGGCTCTTTGGTACATACACATGTGCTACCCTATAGGAACAGCCTATCTAACCTATAGAAACGGTCTACTCTGCTCCTCGACTTTGTCTACCATGATCATAGGCACGGTCTACCCTACCTTGAATGATTTCTCACCTATCTTGTTAAGACCTAGTGGAATGCACAAGTATTGCTTCTCTATACTCCTGTAATTGTTTGGGGTCGGTCAACCATAGATCTAAAAGGGCAGGCTTAATATAACAATGAATATGTATGCTAGTGTATGTGTTTGTGGAGGCCAAAACAAGATTCTAGAAGTTAGATGACAAAATATCAAGAAAATAACAAGTAATCATAATTGATTTAACTTTTATCATAATAAGTTTTTCTAGTCCAAAAAGAATAGAGTTAAGTGTCACCGGTAGACATTATATCATTTGGAGGTAGCCAAAAAGTAGGACAAGGATACAAGTCAAATAATGTCAATAGAATTACTATAAAAATCTTAGATCTTTACGATCATGCTAGAAACAGAAATAAATCGCTTTATATTGAAATGAGTTAGTGTTATTAAGTTATGTTATTCATAAGTTGAGCAGAGTCAAGGTAAGAATTCATTCTCACTCGTTTCAAGCTTAAGTCGTTTTAGCATTCCAACTTGCATGCTCGTACATTTAGTGTACTGATGCCAGTTAACCTGCATCGTATTATGATGTAGAGCAGGTAATGAGGATCGACATCTGGCACACCGCTCATCAAGTTAAGCACTCCAAAGTCTGTGGTAAGCCTCCTTGCACTCTGGAGGATAATTTTTTTTGCTTTTATAGTATTTTTCCTTGTTAGGATAGTGTGGGGTCTATCCCAATATCTATCTCAGCTTTAGAAGGCTTTATAGATAGAAAGTCAGAAAGTTAGCATTGCGTCTCTCATTTCTTGTATTGCTAATAATTTGTTATTGAGACTTAAGTGCCATTGTAGACAAATTATTAACTTAAGTTATTGAATGAGTTAAGTCTGTTGTTGGGTTAAGTAAGCCAGGACAAGCTTCCGCTCAAGGCCAGCAATGGTCATTGGGTTTCGGCCACATGCAGGGCGTAGTCTCGGGGAGTGACAAACTTGGTATCATAGCCCAGAGTTCAAAAGTCCTTGAGAGTCTATGAAGTCGTGTTATTAGATTTCTAGTTATCGATTTGAAGCGCGCCACTTCTATAATTATTAGGGTGCAACATTTATAAATTTCTCACTTCTTTGATATTCCTTTTCACGCGTTAGAGTTCTCTAATTTGTGCTTCTACGTGTTTCATATAACCATTCCTCCCCAAAGAGAAGTAATATCTTGCCCAACTAGGAGAAACGTAGAGGAACCAGAGTTACCTAATGCACCTGAAGTACAACCGCAAGAAGAAGTTTCTAATGTTGATTTTAAAGAGGCAATAAGGATACTCAGTCAAGTTGAAACCAATCAAGTTGGGTAGAACAGAAAAGAAATAAAAGAAGAGGTTGACACTTCAACGATTCGTGTGGATGAATCCTTCATATTTCATGGGTTTGATCACTAGTGAGTATTTGGAGAATTTTGTTGAGGACTAGAAAAAGGTTTTTGATGTGATGCATGTTGCTAATGCTGAAGGAGTAAAGATAGCTGCTTATAAACTGAAGATTTAGGCTAGAACTTGTTTCGATCAGTGGAAGGAGGGTAGAGATAAACATGCACTACATCCGAGTTGGGGCTGTCTCGAAGAGGTTTTCTTGGGGCATTTCTTTCCCTGAAAATTGGAGGACACTAAGATACGGGAGTTTTTTACACTGGAATAGGAATCCTTGAGTGTGAATGAGTATAGGTTGAACTTCACCCAGCTGTCCCGCTATGATCTTGAGGTGGTTAAGGAAATGAGGAGTAGGATGAACTTCTTTGTCATTGGCTTGGGTCGTGCATCAAGAAAAGTGGGCAGAGCTGCAATGCTGACAGGTGACATGGAAATATCCAAGTTGATGTTTTATGTGCAGCAGGTTGAAGAGGAGAAGCAGAAGGACATAAAAGAGTGTAGAAATAACAGAGCTAAGATAGGGAATGGGTCCAAGCAGCAGAAGAGTAATGCCAACCGGTCATCCTTACAAAAGAAAAAGATAGGTCATGCCCCATCATCTGCTAGTGCACCTACACTTAAGAAAATATGTCAGTACTATGTTCAGACTTCAAGAGCTAAACATGTATATTAACCGAGTAGTGTTTTGGGGGGGTAGTAAGCATCCTGCCTGTGCCAAGTATGGTAGAAACCACTCTGGTGTTTGTCGTGAGGGTTCCACTGGTTGTTTCAAGTGCGGTCAGACCAAACATTTCATGAGAAATTGTCCAAAGAACACGCAAGGAAGTGGTAATAAGGGCAATAGAGACAAATCTTCATGAGTTGCTCCACCATACAGAGCTGCACCTAGGGGAGCTACTTCCGATACTAGCGGAGGACTAAACCGCTTGTATTCACTCAACTCCATAAGCATGAGAACTCGCCAGATGTTGTCACTTGTATGATTTAAGTCTATGAATTAACTGTTTTTACATTACTAGACCCAAGACTGAGCTTACTTTTGTAACTCCATATGATCTCGTGAACTTTGATATTGATCATGTGCAAGTTACTGAACCATTCAGTGTCTCCACACCTGTTGGTGAATCCATTCTAGCAAAAAAAAGTCTATCATGATTGTCCTTTTTCCGTCAATCACAAGAGTATTATGGCTAATTTAGTTGAGTTAGACATGGTAGACTTCGATGTCATTCTTTGTGTGGACTGCCTTCATGTGTGTTATGCCTCAATTTATTGTAGAACTCAAGGAATCAAGTTTTAGTTTCGAAATGAGCCAGTCTTAGAGTGGAAAAGCAGTTAAGCTGTGCCTAAGAGTCGATTCATTTTGTACCTTAAGGCGACGAAGTTAGTTTCTAAAGGGATGTCTATCACTTAGTCTGGGTTAATGACTATAGTGTTGATATACCTCCTATTCAGTCTGTTCCAGTAGTGAAAGATTTCCCAGGAGTCTTTCCAGATGATCTTCCCATAGTCTAGAGAGACATAGGTATATATCTCCTTGCATATACTCGTCTTGTCTCCATTCAACCACATAGAATGACACCAGCAGAATTAAAAGAGTTGAAAGAACAATGGTACATAAGGGTTTCATTCGACCAAGTATATCACCTTGGGGAGCTTCTATCTTATTTGTGAGAAAGAAATATGGTTCCCTAAGGATGTATATAGTTTAGCATCAATTGAATAAAGTCAACATCAAGAAAAAGTATCCTCTTCCAAGGATTGATGATCTATTCTATCAATTTCAGGTGCTTCTTTGTTTTCCAATATTGACCTTCGATTAGGCTACCACCAGTTGAAAGTTAGAGAGTACATCATTCCAAAGACTACTTTTAAATCTAGATATGGGCGTTATGAGTTTTTAGTCATGTCATTCGGGTTGACCAATGCGCCTGCAACATTCATGGGTTTTATGAATAGAGTCTTCAAACCTTATTTAGAAATGTTTGTTATCATCTTTATTGATGGCACACTAATCTATTCAAGCAATGAAAAAGATCATGCTAGTCACCTTAGAATAGTCCTTTAGAGTTTCAAAGATAAGAAGTTATTTGCTAAGCTCTCAAACTGTGAATTTTTGGGTAAGTATGTTGAATTCTTGGGCCATATAGTTTCCAATGATGGGATTAGAGTTGAAACCCAAAAGATAGAAACAGTTTAGAGTTGTCCTAGACCCACGTCTTCAAATGACATAAAGAGTTTCTTGGGTTTTGCTTGCTACGATAGAAGGTCTGTTGAGGGGTTTTCATATATCTTGTCTCCTTTGACCAAGTTGACTTATAAAACTGTTAAGTTTAAATGGTCTAAAGCTTGTGAGAAAAGCTTTCAGGAGTTGAAGAAGAGGTTGACTAATGCTCCAGTCTTGACCTTACTAGAAGGTATTCAAGGTTTTGTGGTGTAATATGATTCATCTATAGTTGGTTCGGGTTGCGTGTTAATACAGAATGACAAGATTATAGTTTATGCCT